ACTCTGCATATGCCTGTTAGTATCTACACATTTTGACCTCCCAGTCTGTCCCTTCCCACCCCCAGCCCCCTTGGCAACCACAAGTTTGTATTCTATGTCTATGAGTCTGTTTCTGTTTTGTACTTATGTTCTTTTTTCTTTTCTTTTTTTTTTTTTTAGATTCTACATGTGAGTGATCTCATATGGTACTTTTCTTTCTCTTCCTGGCTGGCTTCACTTAGAATGACATTCTCCAGGGACATCCATGTTGCTGCAAATGGCATTATGTTGTCATTTTTATGGCTGAATAATATTCCATTATATAAATATACCACAACTTCTTTATCCAGTCATTTGTTGATGAACATTTAGGCTGTTTCCATGTCTTGGCTATTGTAAATAGTGCTGCTATGAACACTGGGGTGCAGGTGTCTTTTTGAAGTAGGGTTCCTTCTGCATATATGCCCAGCCATCCATTTACTTTTAATTCTTATATATTCTTATACTGTTTTTTGTTTTTTAAATTGTCTGACAATCTTTGTAATTTAACTAATGGGCTTAGTCCCTTTAATTAATTGAGATTACTGGTTTATTCAGATTTATTTCAATTATCTTACTTTGCACTTTCTATTTGTCTTATGTATTGCCATCCCCTTTGGATTAAAAACACTTTTTTCTATTTTAAATTGAAAGTTATATATTCTACTTCTTTTGTTTTTCTTAGGCTTTCTTATATTCTCATATTTCTTTTGTCTGTTCTTTTAGCAGCCAACCTAGAAATGTTAAGATGTATATCAAGCTTAAAGTTACAGTTAATTAACATCCTTATCCACCTCTAGGACACCAGAACACACAAAATCTGATAACTGCATTTACTATGTGCACTTGGTGATTAGGATTGTGTGTCTGTGGGGGGGGTATACATAAACATTACTGTAATATAGTCTGTGTTTAAATTTTGTAAAATTTGCTGGGTTTGTTCAAAATTCCTTCTTCCATCTCAGATCTTCCTTCTGAAATCATTGTCCTTACTGAAAAATATAACTCAGAATTTCAAAACTTACAGCAGGTCTGTTGGCAGTGAAGGCTCTCAGTGTTCGTCTTAAATGTTACTATTTTGTCCTAAGTTTTGGAAGATATTTTTCCTAGAGATACAATTCTAAGTTGACACATATCTCCTCTCAACTTTTGGAAGATATTTCAGTTATTTCATCTTCATTTTACTGTTAAGAAGTCAGTTTTCAGTTTAATTAACATTTCTTTATAAGTAATCTGCTTTCTCTCACTGACTACTTTCGGGAGCTTCCCTTTTTCTTTGGCATTCCATCATTTCAGCATCAGGTTCCAGATATTTATGTCCCTTCACTTATCCTGGAATTCACTGGGATTCCTGAATGTTACGTTTATGTCTGCAGATTAAGTGATAATTTGGGGGAAAAAAATGAAAAACCTAAGTCAGGAAGCAAGTCATGATCAGCATGAATCTGATCATCTTGGAGGTAGAAATGTTAAGCCCACGGTCACTTCCTGGGACTCTTCAAAGCTAAAAATAATCATTGTTATTTGGGGAAATAATAGGCCATGCCTCATAAATTTAATAAATTTCAGAAGATTGAAATAGGATTTGCTATTTATGCAGTAGCAAAAGAGTAGGTGCTTTCAAAATTGTAGAATAGATAAACAAGATTACACTGTATAGCACAGGGAAATATACAGAAAATGTTATGATAAATCACAGAGAAAAAAATGTGACAATGAGTGTGTATATGTCCATGAATGACTGAAAAATTGTGCTGAACACTGGAATTTGACACAACATTGTAAAATGATTATAAATCAATAAAAAATGTTAAAAAAAAAAAGAGTAGGTGCTGCCTAAGAAGTGTTAAGTGCCAGACGCCAAAAAAGTAAGAGTTCTAGAAAATTCAAATCATCTTGGAAAAGGAAGAGCAAACCAGGCTCCTTGGCTCTTCAACAGTTAATTTACAAGACTTACACAGCTGAATTCATCTGTCATCAAGAATTTGTACCTTAACCTTAATTTCTTTTTTGGAGCTAGACCACTGCGAACAAAAACCTCAAGGTGGAACTCAGTTACTTTTCAGGTCTACTTTGCACTTTGCTATTCATTTTCTCAACTCAGAAAAATTCACTATCCTCCAAATTCTCTAGATTGGGAATAAATATCTCAGCCTGTGTAGCAGGCTTTTTGGCAGCTCCAGCATATGAAAGCTAGGCAACTGTTAAAAAAGGAGAATGTTCTAGGACATTTCATTTTAGCCTCATCCAAAGTTCAGTCTAACAATTACGGCTTTGCTATAAGCTATGGGAATATGTACCTCTTTGACGTCTGTTCCACTAGCCATTTTGTTAACTATTCAGTTTCTACAAGTTGGACACTTGATTCCTCATTCTTTTGGTTCTCAGAATTCAAAGCCACATAGTTTCTCCTGGGGTTAAAAACGAAAAAGGAAGGGATTTGTTTCAACCAGCAACCCGATCCTCATTCACAAACACATGCTGAATCAATTCCGCATTCCTGAATATACTTCGGCAAATATCTCATCAGCAGAGTCTAGTTCATAGTAGCTCTTTGTCAGTGGGGCTTTTTCCTATAACGAAGTCCTATTTCCTTGGAACAAACCTCCTTCCATGAGATTGCACCCATATCACTATGGTTGCACATCCCTTCTCTCTCCCACATTCCACTTACAATGAAGTCCTCTCTTCTGTTCATTTAAAAATGATTTCAGACGACCGTAAAACATGAAGACTGTAACTACTGAATAGTTCTACAACTTGCATGGGTTTGCTTAATAGCTCGAAGAGAGTTATTACATGAAAAAAGACAAGTGTCCAGACCTCCATTTTCAGTTTTGTAATAGGTGGCATGTGCCCATATCCTTCATACAGTGAGGCTGCCACGAAGCCTGATACGTATTGAGATGTTTAAAGATTGGGAGTCCTGCAGACACAGTAAATAATCGTATGGTTACCAGGAGAAAGAGGATGGGAGGGGATAAATTTGGGAGTTTGAGATCTGCAAATGTTAGCCACGATGTATAAAAATAGATTTAAAAAACTAATTTCTTATGTATAGCAAAGGGAACTATATTTAATATCCTGTAATAACCTTTAATGAAAAAGAATGTGACAACAAATCTGTGTACGTATATGCATGACTGGGACATTGTGCTGTACACCACAAATTGACACATTGTAACTGACTATACTTCAATTAAAAAAGAGAAAAAAAAGGTTGAGAGTCACTGTACTGATGACAGTCGTTGGGACTGTCACACACTTTATTCAACCATTCAAGATATATAACATTTCCTATATGTTAATCACTAAAGTTTCCTTCATCCCTAGAATTCTGTACCTCATCAGAGCTTTTTAAAAGGAAGAAGGAAGGGAGACAGACATTTCCACACCTCTCACCTACCCGTTCTCAGCAGCACTAACGACAAACGGCTGTTTGGAGAAGTCTCTCGCTCTCGCCAAACACGTTACTGCAGCCGAGTGACCGAAAAGAAGTTCTTTGGCCGAAATCTGAAAATGATTAGGGTAAGTTTTTAAACAGTTATAAATTTTTAGTTGAAGAATATGAACACGACATTATATAACATTCATAATTCCGATTAAGAAATGCTGTTATATTATGTTTTTGCTGTACATAAGTTTCAGAAAAACATATATTAGCATATCAAAATCCCCAGAATAACAAACTTCTAGATAAAGGAACTGTGTTATATAAACATCTTTTGTTTGTTTGTTTTTGGGTCTGTATTCATCATGAAACCTAGATGATTGCCAGACCTGTTTTACAACATCTAGGTTTTGAACACAAATATATCAGTATTGATGTTTCTTATGCACAAAACATGGCCAGATGATAGTAGCATATTAATGTCCAAATTTCAGAATTCAGAAATCAGTTTGCAAAATAACGCAGAGAAAACATTACCCTTTCTGTACCCATTACCTTATTTGAACTCCTGCCTCAGAAATAGTAAAAATGAACTTTTCTACATTAAAAATAAAATTTTCAGTAGGCTATTCTTTAAAATGCCAGTATTTTTCTCCTGTATGTGAATTTAAAACATGACACCAAGGACTAATTCTTCCATTACCTCATGTGTGGAAGAAGTCTATTCCTCATTCCCCAATCCTATCAATAAGAACAAATTATTTCGTAACATAATTGTTCTCTGCCTTCATCTTAGTTATATCCTAATCAGAAATATTTCTTTAAAAATACGTTATCAGACTAAATTCCTAGCACTACAAAGAGGGTTTTGCACTTGGTTCTAATCACTTACAAACCAAGTTCCCTACCTTAGTCCTGGGAAATATAGAAGGTTTTGTCTCAGAAAACAACATACTATCTTTCTGCAAAATCACGCTTTGAAATACATGCCTCTAGGAATTTAAGTCCTTATCCTGTATATTACAGGCCAAATTAAACAGTGAGTTAGGGCAAATCAAGGATATTCCTCTCCCAGAGAAAATCCACTATGGACAAAATATCAGAACGGAACATCATTGCCTTTCATATGAAGTCCTCACTCTGCTAAACCTCTACACGTAGTTGAATAAGCTGTGACAATTCATCATAATCTCATTTTGTCACATTTTAGAACTTCTGTGAAGAATAACAACAACAAAAATTCTACAGTCACACCTAGTCACGGTCATGATGAAATCCAGGAAAACTTCACTTCTATTCATGGGCTCCACCTCTATGAAGCTTTGGTACCCCCAACTCCCACCCTAGGTACTTCTAATAGCACAGTGGAAAAAGGAAACGAATACACAGCTTGATGAACATCTACCATAGTCCAGGCACTGGTGCAACTAGGAACAGGATTTCACCCCCATTTCATAGCTGAGGAAATTAGGGCTCAAAGAATATGTCATTTGCCCAATTCCACAGAGCTGGTAAATACCAGGGCTAGAATTTGACCAAGATCTCCATTCTTTTTCTCTTCACGGTATTGCTTTTCCTCATTTTGTCATTGTTGTGTTTCCTTATGAGTATGAAACATGAAGAAAAATAGAGCATACCAATACAAACAGGAAGAAAAATAGAGCATATCAATATATCTGAGAGGATGTTCAGCTCACCTTTCTCTATGCTCAGAGGTGTGATGAACACCAGCAATCAACACCAGAAGCCCCCAGGGAGGGAGTTCCTAGCATGGGACTTGGAAAAGCTCCTCACTGGTAAACCTCACAAAGTTCTGGGGTAACTAGAAGGCTTTGGGAGTTAGACCCTGAGCTTGGAAGCAGAAGGGGTAACCTAAATGTGGGATGAGCAGCCCAGGACAGGTAGACGGCTATTCTCGGCTCTTCTGCACCCTGCCATCCATGGACAGGGAAAGTCTGAGATGTGTACCCAACCCCTAATGATTGCTTGGATACCTCCAAGATGCACAGAACTCAAATCACTGACTTTCCTTCCCTATTCCTACTCTCTAATCTTCTCTATTCATTATGCAAGTGATACTGTCATTACACCAGTCCTAGCCATCACCCAATCCCCAAATCTGGAAGGTTTCTTTAGCTGTTCCTGCTGCTTTACCTGACATCCAACTGGTTTCTCTGTTCCGCCCATTCTCTCTTATTAACATCATTCCAGGTTTCATGTCCTCTTCATTCCCACTGCCACTGATTTGGTTCATAGTCAAAAACTTCCCTGACTACATTGCTGTAGAAGCCTCCTGCCCACAGTCCCTCTCCCTTATCTCATCTCCCTCTCCTTTTCAATATATCCTTAATATCAAGTGATATTTGATATATCATCTCATATAAAACATCCTCAAAACCCCTTAATATTGTCACTGCTTTTAATTAGCATGTGGTGTTCTTGCTAGTTAAAAAAAAAGTAAACCCCTCAGCATGTCAGATTCCATGTTGAGTCTACTCTGTCCTCTCCAGATGTGCCTGTCACCTCTAACTTACCCTTTATGTTCCACATCTACTCAACTACTTTCACCAGTTCCCTGCCTTACACACATGCACTTATTCTGCCTGGAATCTCCTCCCACCTGCCTTTCCTGTTCAGGTTTGGTGTATCCTTTAGAACTCAGGTCAGGCATCACCCTCAGAAACTTTTCCTTTCAAAAGCACACTTCACCCTGATTAGAATGGCTATGAAAACAACAACAGCAATATAAAATAACAAGTGTTGGTAAAGATGTTGAAAAATTGGAACCTCTGGGCACTGCTAGCGAGAATATAAAATGGTGCAGCCGCCTTAGAAAACAGTTTGACAGTTCCTCAAAGAATTTAAAATAGAGCTACCATACAGTCCAGTAATTCTACTTCTGGGTACAGCCCAAAGAAGTGAAAGCAGGGACTCAAACATAGATCTGTACACCCACGTTCATGGCAGCACCAATCACAATAGTCAAAAGCCAGAAGCAATCCAAGTGTCCACTGATGAATGGATAAACAAAATGTGGTATACACATACAATGAAGTATTACTGAGCCTTGAAAGGAAGGACATTCGGACATATCCTACAATACATATGAAACTTGAGAACACTGTGTTAGGTGAAATAAGCCAGCAGCAAAAGGATAAATGTCGTATGACTCTATGCATATGAGATACATAGAGTAGTCAAATTCAGACTGCATCCCACTGCTTTACAACTTCCTAATGACACGTCTGTCCCCCCATCAGACTTTGAGAAACCTGAAGGAGGAATCTGTGCCTAGAACAAAAGCACCTATGTAGTTTATCTAATGACTGCATAAATGAGTGTACTTAGGTTTGTTTTTTCTGCTTCACTTGGTGGTGAGTGAGTGTTTAAGTCCACAGAACCTGATAAATTCTCTTACCTACACCGTTTTGGAGAGGAGAAGAGGCTTTCCAAATTTAGTGCAAAGAGGACGTAAACAGCTCCCAGTTCATTTTACATCCCTCTTCCTTCCAGTGTCCTTCTCCCCTTCCTGCTCTCTTCCCCTGTGATATGCCCACAGCCTCAAGATGCCCGACAGCTCCTCGGTCTCCCGCACAGTTGTAACCTCTCTCACAAGCCCACGTCTTCAAGGACTCCCTTCTTCTTCCCCTGACTGAATTATTCCTTTATATATACATTTTAAAAACAAAAATGAAATTAAACTACCAAGCACTAAAATATCAATGATGGACCACTCACTTGACTTTCTTACATATAACAAGAGGATTTCTTGAGAACTTAAAAGTGCTCTGAATTTTGGAAAGCCTAGAGTTTTCCCTGCTAACCATTGGCCCACTGTCATGTAAGGGCAAGAGTCAAAAAATAAGAGATGTTCATTGTTTCTGGGCCTATGATTAGCCATAGAAAATCTTAGGGAAAACTCTCATGTGGAAAATCCCACATTCATACTAATCAATATCTTATTCATGTTACTTTTTCACGATGTCCTCACAGTGAGTTACCAAAATATAAAGCTGATTCAGTCTCCTCAATGATTCTTCTTGCTTCTTCCACCCCTGCCGATCTGATTTCCATCCCCACCCCATGTCTCTAATAGAGGATTTCTCAATATTGGCACCTATTAGCATTTTGGATGGATAGTTTTTTTGTTGTGAGGGGCTGTCACATGCACTCCCAAGTGTTTACAGTATACCTGGCCCCTACCCACTAGACACCAGTAGCATCTCCCTTTCTACTGCTCTAGCCCCAAGCACGTGCTCCTAAGAAAAGCATGAAACAACTATTCCCACTGAAGATGCAGTACAGACTGATCCCTAAGAAGAGCACCCTGTATTAGAACCTACCTGCACGTGGAGCCTGTGTCCTTCCTCTACTGCACTGTGACCTCTTGGGCAGCCAGCACCTGGTCTTTTCATTCATCTTTGAATGCAGGTACCTAGCATACTGCCTAACTTTCAATATGCACTCAGTAAATACATGCTGGATAAATTCTGAATAAATACCAGGAACATACAGAAAGATGATACAAACATAAAAAGATACAGATGCCAGGATTCCAAATTTCTTAAGCTTATAGCAACCTACATATTACAAGGCAACAACTGCAGACAAAAAACCACTACAATTTGACACTCAAAAAAGTAGCAAGATATTTTAAGCCGTTTAGGAGTCTGAGTCTAAACTCTAAGGGAAAATAAATGCAAAGGCCAGTTTCGAAGTTCAACTGTTTCAACAATACCCAGTCCTTCTTTCAGGAATATACATAACCACTGAGCTGAGCTGGTCTGCTTGCAGCTCTTGGCAGGCCTACAGTGTAACTGTTCAGTGATGGGAGATGTTAATTAATTACACTATAAAATAGAATTACAATTAATTGTTAATTTAGGTTTTAAAGTGACAAACTTTAAAGGCTAAAAATAGTCTTTGATCTTTAAAAAGGCTTCTTAATGAGGGCAGTATACTTTAAGCACGTCATTAGTTTAAGTGTTCAAATTGGGTCTAGAGGCTACTAGAGCTAAGCAAGTATCTATTCCAATATGTTAAATGTTTATGAGTTGGGACAAGGACAATTAATTGCTGATCAATGGACCAAATCCTAGGTGAAGTCAGGTTCTGAAATAGGAGGACGACAATAGTAAACTGGATTTAGAGCTTTTCAATGTGACCTATAAAAATCATAGGCAAGCAGAGATTAAAAGGATAGCGAGAAAGCCAAACTGACAGAAACACCCAGATAATTAAGATATTACTCATTTAGTTAATAGTGGTTTTCAAGGGTGCCCTTTGTTTAGATTAATGAGCTATAATTTTTAGAATTATACTTACATGCCTATAGTTCCGTTACTTAAATGTATAATTCAGGATATAAAATAGTCAAACTCAGCTTAGCTTAAAGGATGATAACACTCAGCTGGTAGGTAAGATTAGCAATATTCATAACATAATTGTCAAATACGATCTTGATTCACCATATAACACTTTATTTTTCCAAATTCAGAACGAACACCAATTTATTACTTCCTTAAGCACATTGTCAACTATCATGCAAAACTCCCACTGTCCCTGCAGGTAGAAGAAGCAAGCTGTGTGTATTATGTGAGTGCTATCTGCTTCAATATTAATCGTTTTCACTAACCTTTAGTTCAGATGAGAGATTCCAGAGACAGAGCTGACCCTCTTGACTTCCAGTCACAATCATCTGCTGGTCATCAGTGATCATGATGGCAGTGATGCTGTGGGAAGGGGCCTTCTTTCCCCAGAGCGCCACTGCCTGCAGGAAGGCCCTCATGTTGAAAGAATCCTGCACACACACAGATGGGAAGAAGTGTTCACAGTTACCATTTATACATTTTGGGAAAGTGATCATCACTCAAACAACGTGTACTCCCAGAGCTGTGGAGAAGGCTGCTTCTCCATCTGGTAGAGAGGGAGGTGGTCATCAGACATTGAAATTACCACGCCCAGGGTTAGTTTGTTAAAGAAGAATAATTTTGATTCCAATCCTTGATTATTGATGCTAACGAAGAGAAGGATAGGAGTAGTCTGCCCGCCCCACGCCCCCTCCTGCCTGTGGGCGACCTTATACTCTGAAGTCCATCTGTACCTTTCAAGAATAGAGTTGTCAACAGGCTATAGTTTGAAGACAACATTGTAGACTCTCTCTCCCCAGAAATGGTAGCTCACCTAACTGAACTTTGCTATTAAAAAGTAACTATTTTCTATAAAATCAATGTTTCCTGGTCTTCAAAGATTCATGTATGGCTGCCATGATTTCTGTCATATTCATGTTCCACCTGTAGAACTTTTAATTGTAATTTTTATTTGACCTATTTTTATATTTAGTACCTTCCCAAACAATAATTTTTATGAAATCACTATCTTCACGTGTTAGTTACAGGGTTTAAATGACTATATAATTATCAAAAAAGTTTTCCAAATACAACTTTCCAAATCTATGGGATGCATCAAAAGCAGTTCTAAGAGGGAAGTTTATAGTGATACAAGCCTACTTCAGGAAACAAGAAAAATCTCAAATAAACAACCTCATCTTACACCTCAAGGAACTAGAAGAAGATGAACAAAGAACAAAGTTAGCAAAGGAAAGAAATCACAAAGATCAGAGCAGAAATAAATGAAATAGAGACCAAAAATAAAAAAAAACACAGAAGATCAATGGAACTAAGCTGGTCCTTTGAAAAGATAAACAAAATTAATAAACCTGTAGTTGGACTCATCAAACAAAAAAAAAGTGTTCGAGTAAAATCACAAATGAAAAGGAGAAGTTATAACTGACACTGCAGAAATACCAAGGATCATAAAAAAATTACTAGGAACATGCCAGTAAAAATGGACAACAAAGAAGAAATCACTATGATTTTCCCCTTTTTAATACTGATTTTTAAAAGTACAAATGACAGCTTGATGTTCCATATAAGAATCTTTATCAGATGAATGGCCTTACAGATTGAATTGAGGGAACACCTTCTGGATGTGAATGAGCAGAATACTTCCTGTTGTCATTTTCATTGACACAGGATTCCAACAACAGAGTTCTGTGGTTCCTTTCTGTAGCCAATTGTTGACTATAATATACATAAAATACATAGGAGCTTCCCAGCCATTTGCCTTGGCACGTAACTGGGTTGTGAACACTTGACACGCAGGGTGAGAGAAATTGAAACCCTCAACCCAGTGTGTGTACAAAGATAATCATTTTCTATGCTCATGTTAAAAAGGATGGGGAATACTGAATTAAGTAAAACTTGTCTAGGAACGTAAGTAATTTAAAACTGTAAAAAGTCCAAACCATTATAGAGTTTGGAAAACTATACTTGCAACTAAGAAATAAACCTCTTAGTGATACAGAATAACTGTCACACAAACTCTCATCATGAGCAACTGGGTTCTCCCAAACTCTTCCATTTAAAAAAGAAAAGTTTTTAAATAATGTTTTTTTAGGTGCAAAAAGGAAAGGGCAATATATTCTAACAACGTGAACTTCCTGGTCACTTCCCAAAGCTAGAAGGGCTCTTAAATCACCGATGAGGAAATTGTAAATTAGAGCTGGTGAAGGATGGGTGTATCTTCATTGTTTGATCCCTGAACCCAAGCACACTGCCTGCCACAGGAGGGGATATTTAATAAATAATTCTTACATGACTTCTTGAAAATGGAGTAAGAGAATTCACTAGAAACTAGAAGAAACTTTAAGAATGTGGCATTGAACTCCTATTTTGCTGATGAGGAGTTGGAGGAAAGGTGATGAGACTTTCCTGGAACCAGAGAGTCCTCTTGTTCTGGTAGAACTTATATTCTTGGGAAGGTAACTCCCCCAGTTCCCTTTTTGGTGTTCCATTCAAATGAATGGAAATATAAGCAGTCTGATTCTAGGTTGATCATTAGGTTGTATCCAGCACACCACCGTCTCACCAATTTTATTCAAAATGCACTTTATTGTGAAGGAAAGAGGCAAGAAAATAAAATAGGAGTCATGTAAATCTTGACCTTTTTCCTCCCATAATAGCTAGCAGGTATTCTTTGATCCTCAGTTTTCTCAACTATGCAATGGGAAAAAATAACTACTTTGGAGAATTGATGCAAAAAGAGGTGAAAACCAGAAAATGCTTATCACAATTCTTTGTTCATAACTGGCAGTCAGTAAATATTTACTGAATGAATGGAGAAATGAATCACTATAATTTTACACTGTGGACCGGTAATATGATTATCACTTTCTAGCAATACCTTTCTCAGTGAGATTCTGCCCCCTCTTTCTTTTAGAATACTGTCACTACAATTTCTTTTCTCAAAAATAATGTGGATGTCTGTATAGCACAGGGAAATATACACAAAATGTTATGATAAATCACAGAGAAAAAAATGTGACAATGAGTGTGTATATGTCCATGAATGACTGAAACATTGTGCTGAACACTGGAATTTGACACAACATTGTAAAATGATTATCAATCAATAAAAAATGTTAAAAAAAATAATGTGGATGTACACTAGAACATTTGGCCATGAAAATGTACAATTTGCTATTATTATTACTTCTAAACACTCTGATGATCTTTTAAACAACTCTAAGTAATATTAGGGTGCTCAGATTTAGCAAATAAAATTGTAAGATGTCCAGTTAAGTTTGAATTTCAAATAAACAATGATTTTTTTTAGAATAAGTATGTCTTGGGCAATACTTGGGATGTGCTTATACTAAAAAATTGACTATTGCATGGGATATGCTTTATAAACATTATTTACTGTTTATCTGAAATCCAAATTGAATTGGGTATCCTGTAGGCATCTTAGTACCGCTGGCAACTCTAAGTTACAGCTAAAAGGGAACCTTGAAGGTTACTATCATCCCCTTCATTCTACAGATGAAGGAAAGAAGGCTCAGAAAAACTGATTACTTGCCCAAAGCAATCCAGGTAGAGAGTGGCTGAAGTCTCTCTAAACTGCCCTCCAAGAACTCTCCTCCTGCACACCATGACAAAGACAACCCAGATTTCCCCACCAGAAAGTCTTAGTGATCAGCCAAGCAAAATTCTTTATGTTGGTAGTTCATTAAAAATTAAAAAATACATACATATATACATTCATACATTCATACATACATACATATACATAAATAAATAAATAAATACATACATACATACATAAATAAATAAATAACAAAAAACCAAAAAGTCAAGTAAAACAGCAACAATAAAATCTCTCAGGCATTCAGGCTCCAACGTGCCCTCCTTTGCCTTTAAAAGCTGGGCTAACCCTTCCTGGTCCTTTCTCTGTAATTACAACTTTTCCTGGCAAGCACAAGAAAAGACAACACACCATTACAGCCCCCATCCTCCCTCTCACCCTGGTTTTCTTCTCCATAACAATTTGTTTTTATCTCCCTGACCTGTCTGAGGCTAGCAGAATAATTAATATGATGCAAATACGGTTTTGTGGCTGGTATCTACTGGACACTGGAATTGTTTACACTTTACTAAACAGCTTTCTTCAGGGACAAGCCCTGAAACTGAGTTTCTGCCTCTTCAGCCTCAAAGACAAAAACAAATCTCAAACTTTTTGACTGAGGACAGTCAACCAAAAATTACAAAAGATAAAGTCCTCAATTACTATCCATGAATTCCTTCAATAACCTCCTGACCAAAGTAAACATCTGTGAGTAAATAAAAAGAGTATATTAGCTTTGGGAGAAAACAGATCTGGGTTCAAATCTCAGATCTGCCACTTACAATTGTGTGGCTTCTGAATCCCATTTCTTAAGTGGAAAGGAATTCCACCTACTTTCTTCAAAACTTATACTTAAGTACCGTGAGAGACACAAACAGATTACCTCATGATTCTTTCCCTCAAAGAAGATAATGTAGTCATCTTGAGCCCAAAGGGAGTTTTGTTACTAAGTTTTTTTAAGTTAAGGTTAAAATAGCTTGGAGTATTAAAATTCATCAAATTGTACACTTTAAATGAGTGTAGCTTACTGTATGTAAATTACACCTTAATAAATTTGAAAAAAACAGATTGTGGATAAGAATAAGTAGCTTGGTCAAGGTCACACAGCTAGTAGGTGGCAATAAACTGGGAGAGGATGAAGTAGGGCTTTGTGAAGGAACAAGGAATAGATGTAAGCTGGAGAGAAAGCATCTGGGTGTTAGGGTAGGGCAGAGCGAGAGCTACTGCAACCACCGGGAAAGGAAGCAAGCAGCCTGAGGAACCCAGAGGACCTAAGGGTTCCTGCACAGCTGGTCTCAGCCAAAGCCGTGTCATCCAGAACCTGTCTGCTCGCAGTTGCTCCCAAAGCAAAAAGTCTTATTTTATCAACAGATTGTAATCAGGATAATTCCTTAGAAAAGGTAAAAAAAAAAAAAAAGTCAAAGGCTGCTCAAAGTATATTTGAATAAAACATAAAAATCCACCTGGTTTACTCAGGGGAGCATGACTATTTCAGAACTAACCCCTAACCAACATCAAAGCCAAGCTCCCTTCAAAATGTTATAGCTGAATGATGTACTAGTTAGGTTGTCTTTAAATGTACGTTAACATGAATGTTTGCTGTGTACTACCTCAAATCATACTGGGAAACATGTCTCTAATCCATTACAATAATCAAATCTTTTCCTCTACCCATTCATAAACCTCACTCCAACCCAGACGGTTCCTTGCACCCAAACACTCGTAGTTGATGAACCTCCTAATTAACCAAGAAAATTAAGGAATTTAGACATGAGCATCCTCTTATCACTTCAGCATTCTATATCTTTTCCTTATTTTTAGCTTTTTTTATGATAT